CATGTTTCGTGTGTCTGCAGGAAAAGACGTGTTGAAGAGTCGACGTCGTTTGACCTGACTCCCTATGATGTAGCCTCAGCCATTAGTGCTGTGGACCGGCTGCTGGTGGAGCAGGCTAAAGAAGCCAGCCTAGGAGCCTCTGAAGATTTCAACGTGGAATCCCTCAGCTCTGGTCAGAATGCTTGTTGGTCTCAACCACTGACCTGGACATTGTGGCATCTGATGGACAAAAACATTGTTTTTAACAAATCGATCTTATAAATGTCTACGTTGTTAAATTTCAGCTGGTGATATTTTTTATTTCAGATCTAAAGATAGACATAGCCACCATTGCTAAAGTCAAACGTAAGTATTCTTTAATATATGAAGAAGATAAAAATGAGCCTTATTTTAGTGCTTTCCATGATTTCTCGTGAACCCGCTTCATCAGTTGCTCTGCTCTCTGGGGTTTCTCCAAACTGCTTTCTGTCTCCTCTGACAGAGATTCTGCTGGATCTGGAAGCTGCCATTGATTCCTATGAGGTTCCTGGTGACAAAGGAATCACAAAACTGGAATGTAAGTGAAAGTGGTGGAAGATAGAAAGGAGAATACAACAGTTTTACCCGCAGCTTCAAGTACAGCGATGTCTGTCCATGCACGTCCTTCTGTCTATCATCTATTGGCTGATTATAAAAGTACATTTTTAAGGAGAGATTAAAAAGAGGTCACTGATTCTGCTGACCTGATTTCCTCGGGCAGCTCGTCTCTAAGAGACCTCTGCCCGAGCACCTCAGGCTACAAGCTGGTTCATATGCTGTGAAGAGGTCAGATGTTCAGCATGGAGAGAGGCTGTGAAGATTGTTTAAAAGTCAAGTCAATGAATGTAATGACTCTCATGTGATGTGCATGTGAGCTGAAGGAGTCTCAGTCTGACAAGAAAAAAACAACAAAAATCTAAATAATACACAGGAGAGAGAAAAACATAATAATTCATCACAATAAACACATAAAGTTAGTTGAACATGAATTCTGAAATGAAGTGTCTTCTGTTCACCTCAGCTTCATCTATGAGCTGCTGGAGAGAGCTCACCTGACCTACAGCAGCAAGACGGCAGTCCAAGAAGCTCTGGAGCAGATCAGTGGACACTTGTAGGACGTCAGTATGATTTCTTTATGTTATTGTTTATAAAACAACATGGCACTTGTTTAAGATCTGGTTTGCTGTCCATCTCCCCCCATAGCTAGGTTTAAGTAGGAACTGTATGTAAACCAGTGCTCTGTAATGCTTCAGTTCTGGTCCTTACTCGGGACTCATCTGCTGGGTTTATCACACAGAGCAAGTTTCAATACAAAGTCACATGTGTAGTAATTTATATACATTAACTTAATGAGTTGTCTGACACGCGTTTCTCATCAGAGGGAGGACTATTCCTGAACACAAGTGGACTGGAGAAGCTGGCTAACATCATACAGGTATGCTACGTGACATAGCTCCAGCATGAAACTCCTGTTAAAACCACAAAGGTTTGTTTTTATGAGATTGATTCATATGATTGATATTAATATCATCATCTCACTTTGTTTATTTTTTTTATTTTTTTTTTTTACTTCAAGTGCTGCAGCATCTTACAACGTGCATCACCCATGAACCCCTGCCCACATACACATGCCCAAACATACATAAAGCAAACGCAAAACAATAAAAACAAAATTAAAAAAAGGTTTGTTCACCACAAAATATGACGGTTTTTAAGTTTCTAGGTCTCTTTCTTGACTTCCATTTGGTTATTTGCAGTTGTCCATCACTTTCAATCTGCTGCTGTAAATAACATCTGACAAATTTTGATAGAACTGGTGCAAATTGAACACATCACTGATCCATTATATAATCTATAATTAAAGAGTCAATAACTCTTCCTTTCTTTGTCTTGTCTTATAGCTGGTGTTACGCGGTGAACCGTCAGAGACGGACAGACAACACGGATGCAGTCCAACACGGCTCATTTTAAGGTGCGTGTTCATCAGAGGCCACGAACGCCATATGGAAGTGATGTCATGGTATCTACACAGTGACGTCAGCGGTCATATCATCTGTTTGCTCAGGTTCATATCCACAGAGACACCAGCCAGCCACAGGAAAAAACCGAGCGCTGACATGTGGGCTTCATCCTCATCAAAGAAACAAGGTGATGATACTTTGTGTTGGATCGTAGCATTCACAGTCACAACTCATTTTTAAATTAACTAACGGGTATATTGAGATGACAAGTTCTGTGTGGATACTGTCCCAGACGATGAACCCTGCTGGAAGTTTTAGTTTAGTTTTGTCTCTCTGACTTTCCTGTGCTCTGAGTAAACCTGGTTAAATGGGTCTTATGTGTTTCTTGGCACCTTGTAGGAAACATACTGAGTTACTGGTGCTTCTCTCCTGGCTTCAGCATGCAGGTCTGGTGAATCAAGGTGTCCGCTCCATCATTCTGACCAGTGGGACACTCTTCCTCTGTCCTCATTCACCCTGAGATGAGGATGTAAGTTACCTTTTAACCCGCCGCTCCTCACAGCTCATTTTACTCAGACACACTAGAGGCAATAACAGCTGGTGAGATAAAGGGACTATTCATATAATTTACAAACTCAACAAAGTGGATTTAGAGTTTAGTGTAGTGCACAGATGAAAATTCATCGTTGAAAATTAAACTGTATTAGTCAGATCCTAGTCATGATTCATGTTGTTGTATGAGCAGCAGGTGAACCTTGATTGTGATCACACTGTGCTCGTCTTTGCTGTCGATGCAGAGAATTCCCTGTGTGTCTGGAGAACGGTCACGTGATTTGAGCGGGACCAGATCTTTGTCAGCATCATTGAACAAGGTCCAGATGGAGTTCAGTTAAGTTTCAGCGTTTGATAGAAGGTTAGTTTTCTGTTTCTGGACACACAACTTTCCACACATTGATCATTTTTAGGAAAGATCTGTGTTTTTGTTTTTTGTCTTGATGTGTCACAGACTCATTTGTTGGACAGAGTACACATGGTTTTATGACGTGCTCCATGTTTAATATTCAGTGTGAAAAACCCTCTAAATTCCAGCTTTAATTTATGAAAGTCTTACATAATGGCCTGATGTGCCTCTGGCCTTTGGAGCAGTTAGTTTGATAATAAACATTGAACTCTGACAGTGACTTGTTGTGATGATGCAAAGAAAAGATTTTTTCCCTCTGTGACAGGTTTGTTCCTGAAAACATGGCGTCTCTAGGCAACACTGTTGTGGTGAGCGTGTTTTTATTCTACCACGTTTCTGAGCACATGTTTTTCTAGCTGACACCAGCACCATTATTGTTTGTAGGTAAATAAGGAGACATACATCATTCATCATTTCTGCTGTGATCATCTCACGAATGTGTCTCTTTGTTGTGTTCTCTCCTCAGCCAACCTGAGCCGTGTGGTTCCTCATGGTCTCTTGGTGTTTTTTCCCTCTTTCCCTTTAATGGAAAAACCATTGACTCGTGAGAGTAAGAAACATATCGCTGTATTATATTGTAATTTTGTAGATGTATTTATTTTGGATGCTCCAACTGATTTCTGAATTCACTGTTGTCTGTGTATGTTCTCTCATCAGGCTAATGGACATGCAGATCGTATTGACAACATAAAGCCCATGTTTGTTGAACCTAAAGGAAAGGGAACCTTCACTGAGGTGAGTGTGGTTTTATTAAACATCTGTATGCACGGCTTGTAAAACCTCCTCTGACAGTTTACAGGTTTCTTTAAAGGTTCTGTAAGCGATAGTCTTGCACTAGTCATGTCATCAGACCAGAAGTATATGCTTCAGCCACAATTTGAGCCGGTAGATTTCCATGTGTTGTTTATTAACGTGGGGAGGACCAGTGGTTTAGCAGGAGGACTGCCATGCTACAACGAATAACCAATGTGGAACTCTTGCACCA